AGTCTCCATTCCTTGGACTGTGGAGTGTAATCCTTTTTAATACGGCTTCCTCCAGTGTGTTGGATTGTGTGTGTCCAATTTGTAAACAAATTAATTTATATAGGAAAACCTTTGCACAGCAGTGAGTGGCCTTTAGAAATATAGAGGATTCCCTGCTCCTTGGCCATAATTCTCCTGCTGATAATGAGCTGTCAAACTCCATTCATTACTATGAATGCATTCATTCATTTCAATGAATAGGATCGAGGGTGTCAAGATGGAGGAGGGAGGCAGGGTGGAGAGAATCAACAAAGAATCAGAAGATGTATATTTAATTCTAGTATTGTTTACTCTCTTTGTATACAAGGCGAACAATGTGCTGTTGAGGAAAAGGCTGCATTACCATCATTGCAGGGTTGCCAGATCTCAGGGCCTGGGCCTGAGTCTCCAGCTTTCATGGACCATCTCCAGGAAGGATGGAAAGGTGCAAATTCTCCAGTTGCAATGAGCTCAGCTCCAGGCAAGAGGAAAGAGATGGGTGCAAATCTCCAGCTCAGATGGTAGAGAGCTGCAGCTTGTTAGAATCATAGAGTCTTAGGAGATTATCAGATAGGGGATGGGACATCCTTGTTTTATCCTTTTCCCATCCTTTTCTCATCCTTCCTGAGCGATCGCAGGAAGGACTTTCAGATGACATCATGCTGATCCGGTCATTGGACTTTATCGCCCGGGGGAAATCCTGTGCAGAAATAGGATTTAAAAGCTGGGGAAAACTCATAAAAGTGGGTTGATTTTCACACACATCGCTGTTAAACTTTGTTAAACCAAATAGAACGTAGTCAAAAGCCACTCTGGGGATTTTCCAACAGTAAAAAGAAGCAGCTTTTGACTACTTTCCGTTCAGGTTAGCAACAGTTTAATGACGACGTCATCTGAAAATCTACCTGCTTTTGTGGCTTTTCCCCAGCTTTTAAATCCTGTTTCTGCACAGGATTTCCCCCGTGTGATAAAGTCCATTGTCCCATCTGGGAAGTGCAAGTGACAGCAATTGCACGAAAGCCTTTCAAATGATCCTGTCATTGTCCCGTCAGTGAAGTGGAATTGTCCTGTCCTTGTCCTTCATTTTACATTAAAGGAAGAACCCGTCAATGCAATTCCACTTCACTGACAGGTTTATGACAGGATCAGCATGACGTATGAGAATGTCTTTCACGTAATTGCTGTCACAGATGGGATAAGGACAGGCTTCACTCCTATCCCCCATCTAATAATCTCCATAGAGTTGGAAGAGATCCCAAGGGCCATCCAGTCTGCCGTGCAAGAATACACAATCAAAGCACTCCCTACGACAGATGGGCATCCAACTTCTGTTTAAAAACCTCCAAAGAAGGTGACTCCACCACCCTCCGAGGAAGCATCTTCCACTGTTGAACAGCTCTTACTGTCAGGAAGTTCTTCCCAATATTGAGATGGAATGTCTTTTCTTGTAGCTTGAATCCATTGCTCTGTGTCCTAGTCTCTGGAGCAGCAGAAAAGAAGCTTGCTCCATCCTCTGTCAACTTGATAGCAGTTAATAACAATGATAGAGAGCAAGCCAGCATGGCATAATGGACTAGGACTCTGGACTAGGACTCTGGGAGGCCAGGGTTCGAATCCCTGCTCACCTATTGAGTGACCTTGGGCAGGTGGCACTCTCTCCGCATGACCCTAACCCTGTGTAGTTGGCGTTAGGGTCATGCGAAGTTGTGTTAGGGTCATCTTAGGGTTTCCATAAGTCAGAAATGACTTGAATGTACACAAGAAGATCACAGCAGGGAGCATTCAGAGTTTTAATTCCTATCCCCAAGACAGGAAAACCATGGCTTAAATGCCAACTATAGAATTAACCTCTAACTAGATACAACTAAAGCAAGCTACTAGATCAACTGCTGTTCCATAAGTCAACTCTTGTGTAAATCCCATTTATTTGATGGATCAACCTTAGCTGAGATGGGCATCCAAGTTTAGATCTATATCTCTTGGATAAATTGTGCAAGTAGAACCCATTCACCTATTTTGAACCATTGATTTGTGGATAAAGAGCTACATAGGCTGTGGCTCTTCCCATCTACCCCTGAGGTTTTAGTAGACATTTCTTTGCAGATACAAGGCATAAAACCAGCATCAATGAAGGCTTGTATTCTTCTCAGCATATTAAAGCATACACTCCATACCAAATCCAATGCTTCTGCAACAGATCTGCAGAGCTGAATTGACACTTGCTTACCCGTACATATTAAATATGTATCTGTGTCCCTAGCAGGTTTAACTATGTTACTCACACCGTCTACTTTTGCAGTGACCTCTGGATTCTTCTAGCAATCCTGGGAGTTTAGCCTTGAGAGTTTCATTAGCATAACTGAAAACAACACAGGAAAACATCCCATGACCCTTTGCAACCATGCTTCTGTGTTTGTGAGATAACAATGTTGTCTCAACCTATTGGTTTATCCTGGTCCTGTTTTTGTTTTTGTTTCGGGGTTGTGTTTTGTTTTGTTTTTTGGAGGAATGGCATTGACTTGTTCAAACCCCATTTATCACCAAATCACCTTTCTTCCTCTCTTCTTTTGATTTCCACTAGAGCTGCCATTTAAGTGTATCTGGGGAAACCTGTAATCTTTTGCACAGCTCCGAAAGTTCATTTCAGAGGATGAATATAAGCAGACGCTGAAGCCATCTGCCACTGAGCTATGGTAGGATGATGCTCTGGGACTCGTAGCATCATCCTATCACTGCTCAGTGATGGGTGGCTTCAGCAGACCATTATATTCATTCCTTTTAAGAGCAATGATCTAAGTTCTGCACTTTTTAATAATCCTCCCTTTAAAAAAAAAAAAACAGGGGTGAGAGTGGGAAATGATACAGGAAAAAGTCATTTTAAATTTCAGGGTTCATGCAGAAGAGAGGGAAAAAAAGTCTCTATAAGTATTAAGAGTTTCCAGGTCTTTTTGTTTTGATTTCACCTGCATATTCCCGGATTTGCATCTTGAAATATTTTGGATTTTTTTCCTCCCCCCCCAACCATGTGCAACATTTCAAAAAACTATTTTCAACAGTTTTCATTGAGCCTCCTTTGGTATGATTCAGAAGTGTCAAAATGTTCAAGTACTTTAGCAGTATTGCATTA